ATATAGGATCTTATGTGGTGCCGTAATTTTCCCCAAATCTCAAATGTCATAATATTCATTTGACATAAAACCAGTTGACATAACCAATATTTGTCATAATTTTTTTGGTCATAATTTTACTTTAGCATAAATTTTAATTGACATACTAATTATTCAGCATAATTCGCATTTGACAGAATGTTTATTTAGTATAAGTTATATTCGGTATAACTTTCAATTGTCAAAATTTTTATTTGGCATAATATACATTTGTCATAATCTTTATTTGACATAATTTTCATTGATCATAATTTTAATTTGGCATAATTATCATTCATCATAAAATGTATTTGATATAATGTTCATTCGTCATAACTACTTTTTGACATAATATTTATTGGTAATAATTCTTAACTGGTATAACGCTAATTTAACATAATGACTATTGGACATAATGCTCATTTTTCATAATTCTTAATAATCATAACTGTCATTTGTAATAATCACTGTTTGATATAATGTTTATTATTAATAATCAGCAATTGACATAACGCTTATTTAGTATTTAGTATTATAATAATTCTTAATTGGCATAAATTCAATTTAACATAATTGTTATTTGATATAATGTTAATTTGTCATAATTTACAATTCTCATAATGCTCATTTGTCATAATTCTTATTAGTCATAACTGTTATTTGTCATAATTACTGATTGACATAATGTTAACTTTTTATAATAAGCACTTGACATAATGTTTATTTCGCATAATTGTTTGACATAATGTTCATTAGACATAATTTTAATTTGACATAATGTTCATTGTTCATAATTTTTATTTGTCATAATTATCATGCAGTATAAAATGTACTTGATATATCATTTGTCATAACTATTTTATGACATAATGTTTATTTGTAATAATTTTTAATTGGTATAACACTAAATTAGTATAATGTGTATTTGACATACTGTTCATTTGTCATAATTTTCATTTGACATAATTCCCATTTGTCATAACTTTATGTGTCAACGATTTTTTGCTGTATCTTCCCATCCTTGGTTTTTTAATTAGTAGTTTGTATATGTTGGTAAAGTAGATTAGGTGGCGCTGTCTAATATTTCTGAAATTAATTCTATCTTGCTTTTAAATGTGAAAATTACAATTTTAATATTGTACAATTTTTTAATGTCATCATTATTAATATGAATTATCATATTATTTTTAAAAAAATGTAATTGAATTGTACAATATTAAAATTGTAACTTGGAAAAAAAAGTAATTTTTCATATTTTTCATATCAAAAAATCGTTGACACATAAAGTTATGACAAATGGGAATTATGTCAAATGAAAATTATGACAAATGAACAGTATGTCAAATAACAATTATGTTAAATTGAATTTATGCCAATTAAGAATTATTATAAATGAAAATTATATTAAACAATCGATGTGACGAATAAACATTATATCAAATATATTTTATACTAATTGATAATTATGCCAAATAAAAATTATGACAATTGAAAGTTATGACTAATAAGAATTATGACAAATGAGCATTTTGTGAAATGCAAATTATGACAAATGAACATTATGTCAAATACACATTATACTAAATAAGCGTTATGTCAATTGCTGATTATTAATAATAAACATTATATCAAACAGTGATTATTACAAATGACAGTTATGATTATTAAGAATTATGAAAAATGAGCATTATGTCCAATAGTCATTATGTTAAATTAGCGTTATACCAGTTAAGAATTATTACCAATAAATATTATGTCAAAAAGTAGTTATGACGAATGAACATTATATCAAATACATTTTATGATGAATGATAATTATGCCAAATTAAAATTATGATCAATGAAAATTATGTCAAATAAAGATTATGACAAATGTATATTATGCCAAATAAAAATTTTGACAATTGAAAGTTATACCGAATATAACTTATACTAAATAAACATTCTGTCAAATGCGAATTATGCTGAATAATTAGTATGTCAATTAAAATTTATGCTAAAGTAAAATTATGACCAAAAAAATTATGACAAATATTGGTTATGTCAACTGGTTTTATGTCAAATGAATATTATGACATTTGAGATTTGGGGAAAATTACGGCACCACTCCTATGACAAATCATATAGGAAATTGAGACATGATTTGAAGTAGGATTCGATGTAAATTCTTATAAACGTATTCTTAGGTAATAAATTATGTAAATTCCTATGTGAAATCCTACAATTTTTTCTGGACACATTTTTTCCTTCAATTTCTTATGTCAATTTCCTTCGTGTTTTCTCACTAAAAAACATACCAAAATTCATTGATCAATCCTTAACCAGAAATTTTCCTATATCAAATCATGCATCAAATCTTTTTTCGATTCTTGAATAAAAAATTATTACAAATAATCTAACATGAAATCATATTGAAATTCCTCACGTGAGATCATATATATGGTTGATTTGAACATAAGAAATCATATAGGATTTCATGTAGATTCTGAAATATTTATATTTAAGATTTCACATAGAATTATGTAAAGGAAACAATATAGGATTTCATAAAGGAATTTTTAGTTGGCAGACGGCAGTTTATAAAAATTAAAAATTTTTATTTTATTATTATTAATAATTTTAAAATTATTTATAAATAATGTAAAATAAAAATATAGTGTGTATTAAGATAAAAAATCTGCCCGCTCCCCCTTTTGTGTAGCGGACACATTCTCATTCACGTTTCGCGCGAGGGGGCTCGCTGCGCTCGCGGGTTTGAGGGAAGAACTCCGTCGCGCTACGCGCTCCAAATGTTATGCTGACTCTACATTTAATATTATATTATAATATTTTAATATAAAAATTATATATAATAATTATATTATTATTATATAGGATTAATTTTCTTAAAGTTCTTCGACTTTAAGGACAACATTCTCATCATGGCACATCCCCATTATTTTTTTCAAATAGTTTTTTTAATTAAATAATTTATTTTATTTACTTCAAACTTGTTATACATAAAAGTAAGGGTTATATACTATTCCCAGTTGAAAAATCTTGTACAAGATCATGTACATTTTTTTGTTTAAGTTCAAGTACTTGCACATTCGCGTGATCTTGTACAAGAGCAGAAAACGAACCTGTAAAAAGAATTGGAACAAAGTACATGAACATGTACAGCTACATGCAAGTGTACTTGATTGCGACTTTGTGTGTGCGAAATTGCAAATCGATTCGTTTCGATTTACAAAAGTTATTGTGTGAACAACATTTTATGTCTACATACATAACACTTTCGCCGGACTTTTTCGACTCAGGGAATCTCAATACATACATACATACATTAATTTCCTTTCCCCCTTTTAATTAAATAATTTTGGATTGCATTTGAAACAGAAAATTCGAAAGAACCCTCGTTAAATTAATATCCACCGTCGGTAAGGTAGAAAACCATATTTTCCGAATAGCAAGCTAAAATTACCAACAAAACACTGTTTTCACAATGTTTTTAATGCAGAGGTTAGAATTAGTAAGAATAACTGTTTTTTGTTTAAATGTACGTTTCTTTAATAAATTATCAAAAAAAGCGTTTAATTGATGAAGATTTTTAAAAATAAGTATTGGGGGGGTAAATGAACATTTATAGAGTTAATTTTTGCAAAACTTTTAATTAATTAAGTTTTAAATAATACCTAAATAATAACTTGATATTTGCAAGTGGTACGTATCTGTAGAGTTTAACTCGTCAGTTTTCACCATATTTCCAAAAAAATAGTGTAAACTGTGTGAAAAAATAATTTATATTTCATAGAAATTGCAAATTTTATTAAATTATTTTATTATTTAAGGAGTACAGTTCATAATAATTGCAATTTAATTATAAACAACATTTTTCTTAAAAGTGACAAGAACTCTATTATACCGACCACATACGGTAAAAGTGACAGTCCTTTCTTGGGACAAAAATAAATAAATAATTAAGAGGACAACAGAAGTAAATTGATTAAACAAATTTTTCTTTAATCGTTAAATTAGTCTGGAAAAATACACAAGGCCACCAGGAAAATATTTTAGAGACTGTTAAATTCGACAATTAAATCAAAAATATTCTTGATTGTCAAATTAGTCTGAAGAGTACACACGACCACCAGGCTTTTACTCAAAGACTGTCAAATTCAATAATCAAGGGAAACTCAAAGCAAAGAAATGATTCAAAATTCAAATTAAATTAATATAGTTTTCCTTTTACACTGCCTGCCGCAGTCCCAAATCTTGGTTAACAGTAGAGAAGGCAGTTCGGAATAGCCATATTCGAAAAGATTTTATTTTTAAATTAAATAAAACATGAGATTTTATAAACAAAAGGTTAACAATTTTCTTTATTTAAATTTTAAACATTATAAAAATTTGAGTTCAGACTCGATATAATTTGAAAGAAAACATTTACTTATTCTTTTTAAAGAATAAGGATTCTTTAATCCGAGGAATGGAAAAAATGTAAAATTGAAAAAGATACAATAATTATAAAATAATTAAATGAATGACATTTCAATCAATTTTAAATAAATTATATTTAGATAATTAAATTCATTCTTGAATAATAATCAATAAAAAAATCAATTAAATTCAAAAGAAATCATTTTAAATTAGATAAAATTGAAATTCTAAATTAAATTAAATTAAATTCAGATCTAAAGAAAATTCATTATTGGAAAAATTTAAACAAATAAATAATTTTGAGATATCATTCATTGTTGAAAATTTACTCGAATTAAATTCACATTCTGTTCATTTTCTGATTTCAAGTTAAATTCCATATTATCTTCTCCTTGCCTACAGAGATAAAGATTCCTTTTCTCCCTTTAAAATTTGTATTTCTCTGTCTACCTAAATTCTCGGCCTTGTGAGACCTTCTTGCTAATAGTCAGTAAGCGTCGAGCTTCCGAAGTAAATACTTCATAAAATGTGTACTTTGATTAAAAATAAACTTAGTTATAATTGTTAAAGTTATAATTACAGTGTCAAATTATTTACAGTCCACTAATCCTTTTACCGGCATTTATATCGCGAGAGTATATTAATGTTAACCGATGCAACTCGTGATCATTTGGTTCTTCGAGCCGGATTTACAAAAGTGAACAAATATCGAGTGAAACAGTGATAAAACTACCATTTCAAGTGACTGTGAATTTGGTGAAAATGTTTCAAATACTGTGAAACTGTATCTTTTCTCATATTGTTAATTTAATACACTAATAGAGATTATTAAATTCAGTGAGTCCCTTCAGTTTTCTTATGAGTTCTCTATACTCGCCTCTTATCTATGAATACAAAAACAGGTCTCACTCTCCTTATCTACACAGTTTTTTTCTCTCGATTCGTCACTTCTATTGTACGAAGCAATTCGTACAATTATCAACTCTCTTTCAAAGATACATAATTAATTAAATGACTCGACGCTTACTTTTGCGAAAGACAAAAATTGAACACTTTACAAAGTCTTTCCCCTTTTCTCTTTTCAAAACGAAATAAATTCGCACTCTTTTTCTACAAATAAGCTATTATCATGACTGTCCCAAGGAAAGAAATTTCCAGAATTCTACATGAACAAGAGACTCTTATATCTTCAATTTCCCAAGTGATGCACCGCCTTGAAAGACGCACGAATTTTCCCGAGCCATTCTTACGTGAACGTTTGGCCATGTTAAAATCGGACTGGGAAAGGTGTCGACAATTAAATGCCCAACTGGAGGAAAATTATCTACCAGAAGATGCTCATCTACCCTACTTCGCTGATAAATATTTTTCGGTTGCTGAGATAACTTTTGAGGATACTGTCGATTTGATTTTGGAAAATTTACCCGAGCAGAAGGAACACTTTGCAGTCAACGATGGAGCTCAATCTCTATCAAGACTACTTAAGCCTCGAGTTACCTTGCCAGATTTCAGCGGTTTGTATACAGAATGGTTGTATTTCCGGGAAATGTTTAAATCTCTTGTCATCGATGACGACTCTTTAAGTGACATCGAACGTCTTCAATATCTAATCACCAGTTTATATGGTGAAGCTCAGGTAATCATTAAAGATATTTCAATAACAGGTGGTAATTTTGATTTAACTTGGGAAAAATTGAAGGATCGATATGATCATAATCGATTACTAATCGAAGATTGTATGCGTAAATTACGAGAACTACCTAACATTACTAATGATTTTTTGAATTCATTAAAATCTATGCGCGATATTTCAACTTCCGTACTTTTGTCATTAAAAACTTTAGGTCGTCCAGTCGACCAATAGGATGACTGGCTTGTATCATTATTAACGTCAAAACTTGACAAATTTTCACGTCGAGAATGGGAATCACATATCAGTGATAAAAATGATATGCCTACTTATGATCAATTCGAGACATTTTTGCAAGGTCGAATTCGCGCTCTTGAAGCTGTAAATGATAACAGAACTTTAACTTTAAATAAATCAAGTAGTAAACAAAAACCTTCGCCTGTTAATGTACATCAAACGAATAAAAAATTCTCATGTCCATTTTGTAAAAATGAACATCGCATTTATGTGTGCAAAAAATTTCAAGATTTAACTGTTTCTGATCGCGAAAGATTTATAACTCAAGAATCTCGTTGTCTCAATTGTTTAGCAAAAGGTCATATAACTTCAAATTGCACCAGTAAAGGTGTTTGTAAATTTTGTCAAGGCAAACATCACTATTTGTTACACCGAAATAAATCGACTAATCAGGATGTAAAATCAAACACGGCGACTAGCGCTACGACTACTGACGACTCAATCGCTACAACCTCGTCAAATATCAATTCGCATTTAAATCATAAACGATAAATAAAATTTTACCAGAGAATTACAATATTAATAGGATCAAAATGGTTGTTGGCAACGAATTTCCAATAGAGATTTCCAAACAATTCCTTGTTTTTATTAAATTAACTATTTTAATTCGTTATCCGACGCAAGATGGTAAATCCTTATTTTTTCTCCAATATAAATCTTCTATTATATTAAGTTAACAAATTTCGAAAAACGACACCGACCCCGTGACCTCGACACCGTCCTTGAAAAATCTATTTTCAATTATTTTCAAATAAATCAAAATACTTTGCATATATGCTGTTAGAAAATCTTACAAACTTTTTTTATGTAACATCTTTTTTCAATTTTAACCCGAAAAAGGGTTATTTTGCAATTTTTTTAAAATTTTTTTATTTTTTCAATTTTTTATTATTATTTTTTATTATTTATTGTTGTTTTTTCAAGTTTAAGTTAGTAACCTATAATATTGTGTCTAATTTTAAGTGTCATTAAAATCAAATGTTTTTAACTTAATAATTTTAACATTTCTTAATTTAAAACGAAACATCTTCTATTATATTAAGTTAACAAATTTCGAAAAACGACACCGACCCCGTGACCTCGACACCGTCCTTGAAAAATCTATTTTCAATTATTTTCAAATAAATCAAAATACTTTGCATATATGCTGTTAGAAAATCTTACAAACTTTTTTTATGTAACATCTTTTTTCAATTTTAACCCGAAAAAGGGTTATTTTTCAATTTTAACCCGAAAAAGGGTTATTTTGCAATTTTTTTAAAATTTTTTTATTTTTTCAATTTTTTATTATTATTTTTTATTATTTATTGTTGTTTTTTCAAGTTTAAGTTAGTAACCTATAATATTGTGTCTAATTTTAAGTGTCATTAAAATCAAATGTTTTTAACTTAATAATTTTAACATTTCTTAATTTAAAACGAAACATCTTCTATTATATTAAGTTAACAAATTTCGAAAAACGACACCGTCCTTGAAAAATCTATTTTCAATTATTTTCAAATAAATCAAAATACTTTGCATATATGCTGTTAGAAAATCTTACAAACTATTTTTTTTATATAAGTCCAAAAAAATTAGGGACTTAGAAAAATATTGATTTTTTTATTTTTAATACTTAATTTTCATTTACAACAATGTAAAGTTATAATATGTTTTAACTTATTCATCGCATCCATTCTGCAATTTTCGTAAGTTGTTTTATTTCTTATTAATTTTTAAATTAATTTTTTATAATTTAATTTTATATGAGTGATGTTATTAATAAATTATTATAATTTATTATATTATTTTCTTTATGTTACGCAGCCGTTACTACTCAGCGCAGCCAGTTTACAGTTTTTGTTATTACTTGATTATATTTTATATATTTTTGTTAATGAGGGAGCATATTTTATATATTTTTTTCTTTTAAATGGTTTTTTAATCCTTTCTATGCGATATGATCAGTATAATAATAATTATAATATTTTTTTATGGCGCTGCCGTTACAGTTCAGCGCAGCCATTTTCAATTCAATGAATTAATTTATTTATAAAGTAGAGTTAGTAGATTTCTTCGTAGTCGAATTTTTTTAAAACATGTGTTAAATATTATTGTAATATTTCTTGGTAAACAATGTTTCTTACATAAATTTCTTTTTCATTGCCTATCTTTTTTTTATTCCTTTTTCGCTATGTGTAATACTTGAATTTTTATATAACAATACTTTAAGATTATATTTTGAAGTTACTCTTGATAAAGCAACATATAATTGTCACGGACTAAAAACATGTGAAGGAAGGTATATGCCTACTTTTTGGAAAGATTGACCTTGAGATTTGTTGATTGTTAAAGCAAATCCAAGCCTTATTGGAAATTGCTTTCTTGACATTTGAAATGGTATTTCTTCGTTAGACAGTGACAATGTAATTCGTGGCAAAATTACAATCTCATTTTTATAATTTCCCTTTATTACTTGTGCATGAATAGAAAAACTACCCATTTTAATAACTTTTAGTCTTGTTCCATTACAAAGACCTCTTTCTAAATTAATATTCCTTAAAAGTATCACAATTGCACCAATCTTTAATATTAATTTGTGAGGAGGAAGTCCATTTGGAGTTAAACTATTTAATACTTCAATTGGTATTAAGTTAGTTATTGTGTCACACTTTTCATCTTCTTCAGATGAATCTATACTTAAATATTCTCTAGGTTCACCTGTCATTCGTTTAACAACATCATTATTTAATTCAAATACATCATTATTCCGGAGAACTAGTAATATATGTAAAATCATATATTACTAGATAAAAAAATATATTATAATATAATATAATTAATATTGTTGTCATAATTATAATAAAAAAAATCTAATATTTAACAATTGTCATTTCATCCTTCAATGAAACTGATCAAAATTAAGATAAATTTTATACAATATTAATAAGATATTAATTTAAAACATAAATTATATATATAATATACATAAACTACAATAAGTAAACAACAATAAGTACAATTTTAACCGAGCGTGCGTTAGCGAGCGAGGAATACATCGCTAGTATTAATTAATTCAGAATTAATATTGAAATTTTCAAAGATAATGCCACACTCAAGTAAATATCTTCAAACATCAAATTGACATAAATCCAAAACATCAAATATATCATATGGGCCATAGAAGTTTTAAATAGTAATTTAAAAATATAAACAAGCCTTCCAAAAATCATAATAATTTTGAGTGTTTCGCAAGAAAACGAATTCAATGATATTCTCAGGGTGATATTTGCATAAAACGTGAAAATACTTGGCATCTCTTAATTATCCAATTAATGGGTACATCGGAAGTGAATATTCAAGAATCCAAATTCTAATAATAAAATATATCTAAATAATCGATAATAAACTTCTAAAATATCCAATTATTGTTGACATCAAAATTGAGGTTAGGTTGACCAATACAAAATATCCAATATAATCAATTTCTCTCAAAGTTTTCTTAAATCTTGATATTTTTCTTAATTTCTTGTTTCAGTTGAACATTGGCTCGAAAATAAATAAATAAAAAGGGATTACAGACCAAAGGTGGTGTCCCACTACTTCGGTGAGCTACTCACCAACATTTTGGACAGTCACGCTCCAAAAATTGTACCGCCGCACACAAAAACCATAGTGGCGCTGCTGTTACTTACCATGTTCCGCTGCAATCCAAAAGGTCTCTCAGTGTGTCAGTCTCCTCTTTAAGTTCTAAAAATAAAAAATTTGTATTTTCCACTAGAAGTATATTAAACGAATTTTCTATTGTGACGCGCACCATATCAACGTAAGCGCCTTACCTGCCGAACATGCAAACGTGCTTGAGCTTGATGCACGAAAAGAAAAAGAAGATGCACATTTTTTGTCTATTAATAAAAACTCTACTACCCTTCCTAAGTCGAATTCACCTGTGTTAACCCTCACGTGCCTGAGTTCATTTTTTGAATTATATTTTACAAATATAATTGCAAAAAATATTTGATCTTTTCACACTGTAGGACACATAAATAGCCCACAAAAATTCGCGTTGTGACACCTTCTTCTACAGGGCAAATTTAAGTGTACAGTACAAAAAAAGAAATTAATTTTATTTAATTATTACTGGGTATTCTCACTTTTTGGGGTCGCTAATTACAAATCAGATGTCAAATATGGAAAATTCAAAATGGCGAATCCAATATGGCGGACGAATTTTCAAAAATTAAATATATTTCCTTGAAAATAGTTATTCGGGGGTTTTTGGGGTCGATTATTGCGAATTTAAAGTCAGTTTTTCAAAATTCAAAATGGCAGATCCAATATGGCGGACAAATTTTTAAAAAATAAACATATTTGCTTCAAAATCGTTCCCCGCGGGTTTTTGGGGTCGCTGATAAGGAATCCGATGTCCCTTTTTTAAAATTCAAAATGGCGGATGCAGTATAACGGACAATTTCATTAATAATCTTTCGGAGTCGCTTGAAAATCGTTACTCGGGGGTTTTCGGGGTCGCTGATTTCGAATGTGATATTAGATTTTCAAAATTCAAAATGTCGGATCCAATGTAGCGGATAGGAAAATTAAAAATCAATACAATTTACTAATATCAGATTCATAATCAGCGACTTTGAAAACCTCTATCTAACGAGTTTCAAGCATAACCGTCAAATTTAAAAAAATATATCCGCCATATTAGTTCCGACATTTTAAAT